AAAACTAGTTTTATATAATTCTAGAATTCCTACAAGAATTATTTCCACATCTTAGGAAATAAAAACAAAGAAATAAAATCTATACTAGAGAGAATAAAATAAAAAAATTGAAAATAAAAACTAATTCCTAAGAGAAAAATAAGAACAAAGATTAAAGATCTAAACTATCAACAAAGAGAAAAAAACATAAAAGGAAATCTAAACTATGCAAGAATATAAATCTATACTACGAAATAAAAATTCAAGATAATAATGCAAAAATAAATACATGAAGTAAATTTACTCTACAATACATCAAAATTAATCCAAAATAAAAGGATTCTAGCCTCTTGAATATCTAAAATAAGAAAAAAAAAATTACAAGAATATAAAAGATAAAAGGAAAATTTTACATTACAAGAGGGTTCCAGCCTCTTGAAAGGAAACTTTTATCTTTATCTTCATCTTTATCATCAAATAAAGAGAAAAAAAATACAAAGAGGTGAAAAAGATTCTTTTATTAATTACGACAAAGTTATAATTTTTAGAAGGCCTTCATAATTAAGAATAATCCTCCTCTCCAAATAGAATTTTTACGAAACTTTTCACGCACAAACACCTCACTCTCTACCCCTATTTATATCCTACAACAAGTACAAGTACCATTGGATTTTAATTATGCTCAAAGGATTTATTTTTAGCCATAAAATAAGTTTGTTAAGAACCAATTGGTCGATCAATTGATTGGCTAATCGGTTGACCAACCAATTGAAATTTTAAAATTCTGAAAATGTAGTCAGCTCCATCTCATTGAGATAAGCGATTTTCAATTCATATATTATATGGTAAATTCCGCATTCCAAATTGAAAGATATCGCCGTTTCTTTGTGTCTAATCATCTTGAACATGATTTTGACTTGATTTCTTTTCATATTGAATCATTGTTTTTTCAGCTTCTGTAGATTGCTTGGCTTGAACCCGGACTTTAATAAAATGTTAAAAAATGAGGAAATTTGAGTTCTTTTTGAGCTTTTATTCCTACTTCTTCGTTAATTTGCAAATTAAGATAAAACATGTTTATTAGTGATATTTTTATTTGAACTAAATATATTGTGAAGATACAAAAATGTAATGAAAATGTGACTATCATTTTACCTCCTCGCTTCTCTCCTAGTGCAAGGTCTCCATCGTAAGGAGCAAGATCGCACAAACAAATTGAGGAGTCAGAGGTAGAAGGTAGGTAGGCATAGAGCTGTCCAAAACAGCCCGCGGCCCGGGCCCGGCCCGGAGCCCGGCCCGGGCCCGGCCGGGCCCGGGCCCGACCCGGCCCGGCCTCGGCCCGGAAACCCGGGCCAAGTCCGGGCCAGCTCTTTGTGGCCCGGGCCCGGGCCCGGCCCGGCCCGAAATAGTAGTTTTTTTATTTTTTTTTTAAAAATTTTATGTATTAATATTAATATGTATATATAAATATATATAATATATGTAATATATAATATATTTTTTATATATGTAATAATGATATGTAATATATATAATATATGTATATAATAACATAATTTCTATATATGTATAATATGTCCATATGTGTGTATATATATACTCCTCTCTTAGTATATAGTATATATAAGTATATTCTCTCTTATGTAAGTATATATATGTATAAGTATATATAAGTATATCTTTCTGCTATATAAGATATATATAAATAATACTCTCTCTATATATCGTAAATGTAATGCATGTATGTATATATATAGCTCCTGCATAGTATATATGTAATATAATATAGCTCTCTCTTATATATGTATACTCTCTCTTAATAATAATTTCTATATATTTATAATATGTCATATGTGTATGTAATTATATACTGCTCTCTTAGTATATAAAGTATATATAAGTATACTACTCTCTTATATAAGTATATATATGTATAAGTATACTATAAGTATAACTTTTCTCTAGTATAAGTATGATATTATATAGAGCAGACTGCCTATCAACTTAAAAGTGATAGGGGAAATAGTTTATCCACCAAACTTTGCTAATCGCAGCACACATATATATATAAAAAGTCACTTCATATCATGCAAGATCGCCTAGGAGAACAGCTAATGGTTAAGAAAGTTTGGTGGATGTCAACTTAAGTTGACACAAGTTCTACTATATAATATATATATATATAAATATATATATATATATATATATATATATATATATTATATATAAATATATATATATAATATATATATATATATATATATATATATATAATATATAAGAATATCCTCTTTTATATATGTAATAATGTATGTATCGTATGTATGTATATACTCTCTCTCCTTAGTAATATATGTATACTCCCTCTTATATAAGTATACTCTCTCTTATATATGTATACTCTCTCTTATATATGTATACTCCCTATTATATAAGTATACTCTTTTATATATGTGTGTGTGTATACTCTCTCTCTTAGTATATAAGTATAGTATATTACAATGGTTACTTCCCCATTGGCCCAACGAGCAACGGCTACAGGGTTACTTATGCGATTCTCTCTCTCTCTTAAATTATAACTTATAAATATATACAATATATTTACATATAATATATGTATATATAATATATAGTTACATAATAATTTAGAAGTATATACTAATACATAATTATATAAAATATAATAATATTAAACTAATTTTTAGAATTTTTTATAAAAAAAAGAAAAGAAATTTAAAAAAACCTAGGTGGGATGTACTTATCTATTGTGATGTGATGAATTCCAAAATAAATTTATACTTGTAATTTGTAAATGATTTATTAATTATTAATAAATAATTTATTTTTATAATTTTTTATTTATAATTTATGTCATTTTAAGTGATTAATAAAATTATTATTTTTTTGTCTTTTTTTATAATTTAAAACTTAAATAAAATTTAAAAATTTGAAAAAAAAATTTAAAAAAAAAGAAAAAACCCGGGTAAAAGTTAAAATTAATATCATAGACAATCGAACAAGTAAGTGTATAGAGCAGATACACAAACATATATAAAGATGTAAAGCGAATATAAGAAAGACAAATAAGTCTGAAAATTATATGTGTATTTTTATATTAAATATACTTTAAGTATAATAAATTTATTACATCAGAATTCGTCAAATGTTTGATATATTTGAAAAGTTAAAATTAGATTCTAATCGCTCAAATTGACCTCAAATCTATTAATCCAAAGGTCAAAATGTTTCAACTATCATTAAATATTCAGATATGCAACCAAATATTTTACTTATATATTTATATTCATATCTGTAATATACCGAACATAGAAGTTTGGTATCTATATCTATCTTATGATCTATACGGATAACTTGCAGATATTTGTACCCATTTTGCATTACCAAATATACAACAGGGAGGTTGCTGAACTTAGCCAAAGCTAAGTGCCTCTCCAGCGGAGCGCCAAAACAGCGAGTTGGCGTGTTTTTTTCACTCCAACGGAGCGCCAAATCTCCCGCTAAAATAGCGTGATGCTATAGTGTTGCGTCTGGAATGGCGCAACATTGTAGCATTGGCGCAACCATTTTTTTTGCTTTTGTTATTTCTCCATCTATTAATAATATATATTATTTTATATTAACTATTATAATGAAATTAGAGTATAAAATAATTATTAAAATAAAATTTAACAATGGAAAAAATAGATAATTTAATCCAAATACTTAAAATTTCATAATACTAGAACCAAATGAAGAAATAAGAAAAACTACACCATTTAGATAAAAAAAATACAACATAAACATTAGGACATAAAAATTAACACTAATTGTAATACATTAAAATTAAATAAAAATAGAACATTGAACATAAACTAAAACAACATTTTAGTATTCTGGGAAATTATCATCAGAAGGACGAAGATGCCCGAAATATTGGGCAAAAGTATCGGAACCGGTATTTTGAGATCCTTCACATTGTTTAGTTCTTTTATGCATAATTCTTGATTGTTCTTGTACAAGAACCGGTATTTTGAGATCCTTCACATTGTTTAGTTCTTTTATGCATAATTCTTGATTGTTCTTGTACAAGAAACTCATGTAGATAATTCTTGATTGTTCTTGTACAAGAAACTCATGTAGTTTTGGATCAGTTACTTGTGTCAAATCTTTCTGTAAAATTAAATTTTCTTCTCGTAATTCATTGACATCCACTTTTTTTGCTGCAGTTTGAGCTCGTAACATTTGGATTTCATAATCTAGTTGCCTATCAGCATTATTTTTTCCCATCATTGTAACAATTTTTTGATTCTCTTTTTTCATATACTCCATAAACTTAGAACTTTCTTCATCGTTTCTCTTTTTAACTGTGATATTTTCTTTTGTGATGTTAAATGTAATCTTTAGTTGAATTTATGAAAGTGATATTTTAATTATATAAAATATTTTATTATATTTTAGTTGAATTTATGAAAGTGATATTTTAATTTGATTTAGTATTTAATTTTTATATTTATATTTTATTTATAAAATATATTATTATAATTAATTATATGTAATGTATTATATAATTATATAATTTGTTAAATATTTTAAATAGATTAAAATGTTAAAAAATAAGAACAATAAAAGAAATATTCTTTTTAGTGTAACATTTAGTGTAATGGGTTAAAGATGAAATAGTGATTTCGTGTAAAAACTATACCAACTTGGTGTAAAAACTACACCAACTTGGTGTAAAAATTATACCATTTTAGATTTTTGAGTTGGAGATGCTCTAAAGAAGCCCAAGTCAATATTACAGCCATGAATGATGAGTGATGTGTGGATTAGAAAACAACTCTCTCACTACAACCCGAAACTTGATAAGACAAAAAGGCTTGGAGGAGATGCGACTCACCACGGACTAAATTGTAAGAGAGAGAGAGATTGATTGATGGTAGGATGTGGGGTCAAAAAATTGTGTGTGCAATAATAATCAATTTCTTCGTTGAATTTATGGAGGAGACGCTATTCACCACAGACTAAATTGAGAGAGAGAGAGAGAGAGAGAGAAAGAGAGAGAGAGAGATTGATTGATGGTGTGATGTGGTGTCAAAAAATTGTATGTGCAATAATCATTTTCTCCGTTATATTTATGGTTGATGGGTTGAAGAAGTTGACAAAGTGCTTTCCATCAACCATTAAACGCTTCATCTCTTCTGACATGGCCAACTCCTCTGCTATCTCTCAGGGTCTCTCTTCAGCCATGGAGCGAACTGGCCAATGGTACTTACTTCATTTCTACTTCTTAAAAACAAATCAAATATATGTTACAGTTATTTTCTGCTAACTTTTCTTTTGCACTTATTTTGGTTTTTTTTGATTGTCGAGTAATCTCTCAATTATATTCCGATATTTATCATCATGTCAATTATTTTGTTTTTAATTTTCAATTATCACAGGGTATTTTCACACGACGTTCAGCTTCCTACTGACTTGGTCATTAATGTTGGCGACGCCACTTTCCCACTTCACAAGGTTATACACCAAAATCAAATGCGTAGAATGTCACGGAATTATTACCCGCACATTAGCCCTACAAAGTTCTAATTAAACGTAGATCTCTACTTAACTGATATTCTTATCGGATTTAGTTCATCCTGATGGCCAAGAGCGGCTACATCCGAGCCAAAATCCTCGGATCCAACAACTCAGACCCGACCCGTGTCGACCTCTCCCAAATACCCGGAGGCGCTCAGACGTTCGAAAAAGCCATCAAGTTCTGTTACGGAGTCAACTTCCAGATAACGGTGTATAACGTGGCGGCGTTGCGTTGCGCTGCGGGGTACCTGGAGATGACGGAGTGGGTGTGTGACGGTAACTTGACGAAGCGGACAGAGGAGTTCTTGGGCCAAGTGGCGTTAAAGACGCTGTTGGGCGCCGTTACCGTGCTGAAATCGTGCGAGGGGTTGGGTTTGGTCGCGGAGGAGATTGGGCTCGTTCAGAGATGCGTGGAGGTCATCAGCTTGAAGGTAGAATTTGCAGTTAGTACTTGTAAACGAACAATTTTGCACAACTTGTCTCCATATTCTCATATAAGGACTTTTGCTATATTAGTCCCTTTTTCATATTTGGAAATTAATCCCTGACATGATTGAAGTTGTTGTTGGGCCCCCTGATCTTTAGTTCTTTCTGAATTAGCTACATTAACATATTGGTATTTTCAGTTGACCACAATTACCAATAAGGTATTTTTAACAATTTCGGTGTCCATAATATCATTTTTCTTACTGGCAGCAAGAAATCTGGCACGAATTGTTGTTGAAAAATTTTCTTCCACCCCCGACCTTTGAAGTTATTGTATCTACACCCTCTTTCTCCTTCAACATCCTCGCTCTCTCTCATCAATGGAGTTCCCTCCTCCTTCAATCTCTTCAAGATCAAACTCACACTCTAATCTAATTGAGTATTAGCTTGGATGAAGGCTGTTGAATTTGTATTAGGATTTGGGTTTGAATTGTGGAAGGTTGAAGACAAAGGGGGGATATTCATTGACGAGAGAGAAACAGAGGGAGAAGAAGGGTATTATTATTGGGTAAGGGGTGGAAGGAATTTGAATTAGAAAAGTTGAAGGAGGAGGATGATGTATATTTTATAATTTTAGGAGGTCAGAGGATGTAAGAAAATATCCAAAAAATCTATTATTAGGCCCCCTAAAAATATTACTAATAGTCTTTATCTATGCTAGAGCTTTTAAAAATAGGCTATTGTAAGAGGGGGTCAACTAAAAGTACCAATTTGGTAATTTAGACTTTTTGAATTAATCACTCAAATTTTTGAAATTGCTATTAGGTTCCTAATTCCTATAAGTTGTTTCAAATTAATTCGTCTAATTGCGGCTTGTACTCTTCATTGAGGAACTAATTTAAAAATAACTTAAGAATCAGAGGTCTTATAAGTTTCAATAATTTAGGGAACTTCATTTAAAATAACTTAAGAATTAAGTGACTTAATATCAATTCCATGATTTGAGGGATTAATTTTAAAATATGAGAGATTTAAAACAGTAATATCTGAGAAGCCTTCACATATTTTTGTGTATGCGAGTCTGTTCTACTTGGTAAATAATTTTGTTTCTTTTAAATATTTAGTAGTTACTTCAAACTCTTGAATGAAAAAAAAAAACAGTTAAGCATCATTTGACATTATAGAGACGGAAATAATTCATGGGAACAAGCAATTGAAAGATATAGAATCCAATTATTCATTTAACTAATAGTTGTTTAACTTGAAAATATTTTCATTTCATTGAAAATTATGTTGTTAATTATTTTAGATTGATATTTTTTGGTAACTTTTTTAGATTGATATCTTAATATGACTAAGTTTTACAATGTTATCAAACATGTTATCTAGAATGCAGTTTGTTTAAATTGTTGGGATCATCTCTTACTCTACCAGTAAAGTGGTGATTAATGGTATTTGGCACACTTTATTTTGATGGGAGATACTTGACAAACCTAATTACTTAGTTTGAAGTGTTAACGTTTCTATTTTAAAGTTAATAGATCCTGCAGTCACTAGAGATACTATATATATATTTATTTAATGTAGTTTTTAAGGTAATGTGCATATTGGCTAGTGTTTAATTAAATTCATATAATACAACATATTGGCTAGTGTTTAATTAAATTCATATAATACAAAATTTACTTCAATTTGGATATAGCAGAGCTCTCCAAAATTTCAGGCCAGAATTATTTCTCTTGTTCCATCTAAATATTATGTTTTAATTTCGATAACCATATCTCGCAGAGTAAAAATACTATCAGCATATCACGGAAATGATCTAACCCATGTAGGGAGGCAGTGAAATGCTGAAACTACCTTCTACTTGGAATTTCTACGAATTATTACGCACCGCACTATATAGCGCACTATATAGGGTGTTCTCAAAGCATTCCTACTCTATCTCACAAATTCTGAATTTTAATGTTTTAATATTTTATTTTATTTTATTTTTTGGATTTTTTTTCCCATCAGGCTTGTAATGAGCAAAACTTCCCAACCTGCACCCCGACAGACTGGTGGCTCCCGGAACTCACTTCCCTCACCAATTCCTCCTTACAACAAATCCTACTCTCCATGAAAACCCATGGCGCCTCCTCGAAAACACTTTTCGCTATTATCACCGCTTTCGCCGAAAAATCCTTCCCCGAATTTATCCACCCTAAAAACTCCGCCCTCCCCTTACCAGATCCCTCACCTGCTATCCGTACCCACCAAGCATCCCTCCTAAACTCCATAACCCACCTCCTCAAATCAACCTCGATACCTGTCCCTATAAGTTTCCTGTGCCTTCTTCTCCGTGCAGCCATCTTTCTGAACTCCTCAAACAACAGCAAAAGAGAACTAGAAGTTCAAATCGCCGCCTGTTTGGATCAGGTTTCTGTTGGAGATTTGCTTGTGATTGCGTTGGATTGTTCGGGGCAGCGGGTTGTGGATATTGATAGCGTGAGGAGGATAATTGGGTTGTTTGTAGAGAAGCAGGGAGGGGGTTTATATGGTGGAGGAGTGGTGGGATGTTCTGCAACGGTGCAGCAGGTAACAAAGACTTTTGATGCTTTTGTCGGGGAGATTGCTGCTGATGAGGATCTTGGTGTGTCCAAGTTTGCTGGAGTTGCAGGTGCTTTGCCAGAGTCTGCGAGGAGGTTTGATGATGATCTCTATAGGGCCGTTGACATCTACTTGAAGGTCAGTGTGTTCCATTTCTATACCAATTGTTTATTTTTCAGTAAGTTTAAGCTTTTATTCATCTAAAAGAAAATCAAGTACGTTTAATCATCCAGGCATATACCTGGGAACATGGGAATACAAGACACTACATATATGTAATCTTGAAGTCGGAGTTCGAAACCGGAAATAACTCCGACATACATCACCCCAAAATAGACACCCAATCTTGAAATGGTGGAGGAATAGGACTATGTATATGATAGTTAGAAGATGATCAACTCAGAGCTCTTACAAACATTTGTATGTATAAAAGTCTGAGGTTTCTTTCATTCCAAATGCAATAAATGTTGTGCCAAAAGCTGTGTCGAGGAACCAAACCAAACGTCAATCCAAGAGAGCCAAACGAACTAAATATCAATGCACAAATAAAACACCAATTTTAACATGGTTCGACAAATTGCCTACGTCCACGGGGCAAGAAAGGGGATGTGGTTTTCACTAATAGAGAAGAAGAGTACAAATTGAGATTACAACTCACTCGAAGGAACAAACTAATCTCACCAATAAGCTCTTAATCTCTCCAAACAAAACCCTAAACAAATAGCTCAGAAATATCTCTTTTTTGTGCTCCAAATATCCCCAATTTGCTTCTCCCAAATTCTCTCTTCCAATTGTTCTATATATATATAAATCCTAAAATCATAAACATACTAGGAATTCTAAATCAAAAGCCAAATCAAATTAGGAATCCTAATAACCTATTACCAAAATAGATTAGGAATCCTAATAACCTCATGTTACCAAAATAGATTAGGAATCCTAATAACCTCATGTTACCAAAATAGTTTAGGAATCCGCTATCCAACAATTCTCCACTTCGGCGAAGTTTTCCCAAAACTTAGCCGACACTAATACCAACCAAACATCTCACTTATTGTGTCCAGTACGAAGTGGAACAAATCCACGACAACGGACTCAATCCACAATAAGTCGAGAACCAAAACGAGAATACGAACAAACTCCAAATGTCGGTATCAACTCACCAAATCGGCTGTATCAAAACTGACTGCCTACGTATCCTCTTACCCAAGGAATCAAGCTTTCACGTAGTTCACCCAAACGGCCTCCAAAGGCCCTCAAACAAATAAAAAAGTCTGCAACTCTTCCCCAATATCGCCAACGGATCTGCAACTGATAGCGGCCCCAAACTGATACAAATCAAACACCTCCATCTGAGGTGAATCAATGGCCGTATCCAAATCATGTCCACCAGCTGCAACCGAATCCAAAACCAATCCATCATCTGCATTGGCCGTATCCAAATCATGTCCACCAGCTGCAACCGAATCCAAAACCAATCCATCATCTGCATCCGAAAGCAAATGATCCCCAACCTGTGTCACCTCAGCTGGAATCCCAAATGACGCAGTATGATCTGGAATATATGGAATAAGTTCCACCCAACGTGAAGTAGCATCACCCTTCATCTGCTGTGATATCCAAACGACCTGATCAACACTCTCCACCTGCCGAGAGTTAAAAGTGACACTCCTGCTCAGAACAAAATCAGAAGCTCCCAAACGATAATCAAATGAGCCTCCGAATCCCAAACGCGCAATCAGATCAAATCTCACATCCTCGATGTGATCAAATGCTGGTAACCAAATATCCGACGCCGATCAAAATCTGTAGCAGCTCCACCAGATCCAATAACTCCTAATGCAGCAGTCGGCGACCTATGACTAAGATAACCTAAATATGTCGAAGCTCCAGAACCAATGCTCGATAACCAACGCCGATCCTCCTCCAGAAAGGAACGACCCATCGAAACTATCATCTCATCTTGTCACCCCAAAGTCTCCACATCAATGAAGTGTCTCCTATTACTATGAGCTCGGCACAAACGTAAGAAAGGACCCCTACCAAAATTAGAACAACGAGTTACTTTTCTGTCAATATACTTCTTTCAATTGTTATTGACTTCTAGGACTTTACACTAACGGGAACTGGTCGCGACCTAATAATGCCTAGAACAATCACCAACTGCGGAAACTACAAAACGATTACCTCCCAATGATGCCTCCTTGGAAGGCCCCCAAATGCCTAACTAAACACCTCCTAAAAGACTTCTCGCTCGATGGATAGGAGTGCCAAACTCCACCTCGGTCTTGCTCATCCCAATGTGCTTAAAGGACTTTCATCTGCAGGTCAAAGCACTCCTCAACAACCTATGCATGACATCACCAATCAAATACCCCAGCACCAAACAACGCCACAATCTAGACAAATCCAATGAAGTCGTCAGAGCTCTATCAATCACCGTGCTCCCAAGCAAATAGTATAAGTTACTCTTTCTGACGCCCTTCATCACAATCATGAACCCAAATGTAACCTTCAAGCGTGCATCCGTCAAGGTTACCCTATAGCCTGCTGCCTTCAAAGCTCCAAGTAAAATGATGTTCTTCTTCAACTGAGGAACGAACCTCACTCCAACCAACTCCCGAATCATCTCGTCACTCATCCTGATCCGAACGGTACCGATACCACCAATAGAGCATTTGTGATCATTCCCCATGAGCACGAAATCCCCTCTTTCCAACTCCTGAAAGCTGGAGAACCAATCCCTCCTAAGGTAAATATGGTATGTAGTGCCCGAATCCAACATCCACTCTGTAGAGTAGGTAACACAAACTGACGGTAATACAGATAATGAGTAGCCTGAAGAATTTGAATCTGAATTGTTGCCACTAGTCTTGACAATATTCACCTCTGAAGCTTGTATAACTTTTTTCTTATTCTTTCCGGCTTGATTATTCAACTTTGGGCATTCAGCTTTCTAATGTCTATCTTCTTTATAAAAAGCACACTGATTCCTACGAATTCCAAGATGTGCTCCTCTAGAATGTGACATTCATGAGTTGGTAATTCACTAATGCAGCGGTGACCTCACTATATGAAAGAGATGCCTTCCCATTAATAGGAGTAGGGACAAACGTCTCATATTCCTCGTCGGGCAAGGAACTCAACAATAGCAATGCCTTGTCCTCATCTTCAATAATGACATCTACATTCGTCAAATCTGTAAGAAGCTTCGTGTAGTGGTTATGTGATCACTAATGGATGTCCCCTTCTTCAATTGGAAGCGATGAAGCCTCCTCTTCAAATGCAAGCGGTTTTCAACGCTCTTCGTCAAGTACTTTCTCTTTAGAACCTCCCAAATCTTCTTCGCAGAAATCTCATTCATCACATCATATTTTAGATCTTGAGTGAGACAAGACCTAATCACACCACACGCTGTCCGATTCATCTTTTTCTAAACCTTCTCACCAATGTCGTCCGGTTTTCCGTCCAACTCCAACGTATCTTTCAAATTCTGCGCATTGAGCGCATCAAAGACTTCGCATAGTCAAAGTCCAAAATTGTTAGTGCCATTGAACTTCTCCATGTCAATCTTCATCGAGTCGATACTCAAACTTTGGACAATCTTCACACCTGAAGAACTACCCTCAACTCCCTCTTTCTCGGCCATAATCCTCAACACACCAACAACAAATGCGGAAACAAACGAAGAATAGATCCAAAACTGAGAAAAAAAGAAGCTTTACCGAAAAAATCCCACCTTTCTCACCAACTGAAACCCTAGACGAGCTTCCCAAATCGATCTACTCCTCTAAATAGCCCAAGCGTAGCCCGAGCTCTGATATCAATAAATAGCTGCAGCAAGACCATCTCTTTTAAGTTTCTTACTATAGTAATTATCTCTCCACTTAGCATTAATTGTACCAATGCATGAAGAAAACCCCATTCACAGCTTCTAACAGTAAATCACATCCAATCCATTAAGCCATGTCACACAGCAGTAGAGAAAGGAAAAGAGAAGAGGAGATGGTCAGTGATTTTCAGCATTAGAGGGACGTAGATAGCACGTATTACACAAAAAAGAAACCCATATGACATGGCCTACCTTGTGTCAAAAGCTTCCTGTGAGCAGCGATCTATAGAAGCGATCTATAGAATATGAGCTTGTTTAGGAGTAGAGAGCTTCCCCCAAAGATTACAACTCCAATTAATAGTGAGAATGTCATCAATCAGGATGTCATAAGCAGGGACAATGCTGAATTTGCCATGAACCAAACATTTGGATAGATGAGATAGTGCATTCTCTTCAGATCCTCATTTGCGCAATAATAAGTTTCTAACGTTCAGGATTTACTAGCTAGTTTTGTTCTTTAATAGTTATCTTTCAAAATCCATAAATATTGTCCATTGTATTATATATATCCTTATGTATTGTAACTTTTCCTATTTCTATATTCAAAATGAATTACAATCTTTTTTCCCCCCCAAAATGAATTATAATCATTTAGCATATATCTATATATCTGCTTGGTCAATTGTTTCATACGGAAACCAACTTTCTTGAACCTGAATTGTTATATCATATTTGCTAGGGATATATACACGTCTTATAAGAAATAGATCTAATTTCTTGTTATTACAAAACAAATTGTAACCGTCATAAGTGTGAATATTGTTGGAGTATAGTCATTGGGATAAATGGTATCTGCAATTATTTTGATGTAAAGACTATTAGGTGATATTTATCTAAAAACAAATTTCACTGTAGCACATGAGTTTACATTCGTTTTATCACATAAAAATGGTCTCATTTGCGGCCTATGCTTATGTTATTCTACGAACAGGCTCATCCAGGGCTGGACGAGATCGAGAGAGAAAAAGTGTGCAGTGTACTAAACCCTCTCCGGCTCTCCTACGAGGCCCGTCTCCACGCATCACAAAACAAGCGCCTTCCCCTCCAAGTCGTCCTCCATGCTCTGTACTATGACCAGCTTAAGCTCCGCAGCACTGCCACCTTTAATGACAACATCGATCCCACTCCACCGCCACTCAGCACTGCTACAACGGCGCGCAGCAGGGCGGTGGCAGATGCGTCACTGATGAAGGAGAACGAGGAGCTGCGATCAGAGCTTACGAGGATGAAGCTCTACCTATCCGATTTGGAGATGACCAAGAAGGTGGGCTCTGGAATCAAAAAGTCGAACACATTCCTGGCGTCGGTGTCGAGGACTTTGGGGCGGGCTGAATCCGTTCAAGCAAAGGGTTATCCAAGAGATACTCTCAATATTGATGAGGGATCCATGGGAAGTGTGGCGCGCGTGGGAGTAGGCCCAGGAGGAGAAGCTTTTTCCATTTCTTGATGGGATCATGGACTATATATATACCCCCCCCCCCCCTGCGCGTATTTAATTGAATGGCCAAGTTTTGATTGGTGGTTGTGGATTTTAGGTTGATTTTGTAATATTTGGCAAGGAGTGTTTGCTGATTTTGTTTTGTTTTATTGAAATTGACATCGATCGCGGCTACATTGATATCAAGTTATCTTATTATTTAATTAGGGGATGATATCGTGATCTTTTTTAGGGGCAAAAAGCCTTCCAGGCCCCCAAAAAGCCAAGTGAAATGCTTCCCCACCGCCACGGGACTTGGTCAATGAGTGTTTTAACCCCTAAAAATAAAAGCAATCTTGTTTCTCTGAGCCCCCCCCCAAATTAACAAAACCCAAGACCATTCTAAAACTAATGTGAGACCATAATACCCATTCTTCTCTCTTATCTTTTTTTATTAAAATATGATGGAGGCATTATTTTGATTATTTTTGTTGATTTTCTGCTCTCTTTATCGATGAGTACGCAAGAGGATTGAGTTGGAAAGCATTTGATGATGTGATTATTTATTATTTTTCAGCTTTTTTATTATTTTGCGTTGTTGTATTGGGAGGTTGTTAAAGTTACGGGTTGATTCGTTGAAGGTTACGGGTTGGTTGTTAAGGTTAAGGTTTTGTTGTTAAGGTTATGATCCTCTCTCTCTCTCTTTCTTTTTTTATTTAAAAATATGATGGGGATTATTTTATTATTTTTGTGTTTGCTCTCTCTCTTATCATGATGTAGCGCCAGAGAGGAATAGTTGAAATGATTTGATAGAGGATATATTTTATTATTTTCGTATTTTATTATTTGGTTGTTGGTATTGGGAGTTTGTTAAAAGTTTACGGGGTTGATTGTTAAGTTACGGCGTTGGTTAGTTAGCGTTAAGGGTTTGTTGTTAAGGTTTGTGGATGTTCGTTGTAAAGGTTGTGATTGATTGTTAAAGGTTACGGGTTGGTTTTTGTTAAGGGTTAAGGGTTTGTTGTTAAGGTTGTGAATCTCTCTCTCTCTTTCTTATTTTAATTAAGATATGATGGGGATATTTTTTAATTTTTGTTTTTCTCTCTCTCTTATATCAATGATGTACCAAGAGGATAGTTGAAGTGGATTGATGAGGATTATTTTCATTATTTTCGTTTTTTATTATTTTGGTTGTTTGTTATGCGGAGGTTGTGTAAAGTTACGGGCTTGCATTGTTTAAGTTACGCGCCGTGGTTGTTAAGGTTAAGGGTGTTGTTAAGTTATGAATTCTCTCTCTCTCTCTTTTTTTTATTAAAATATGATGAGGATTATTTTATTATTTTTTTCTCTCTCTCTTTATCATGATGTACCAAGAGGATAGTTGAAATGATTGATGATGATTATTTTATTATTTTCGTTTTTTATTATTTTGGTTGTTTGTATTGGGAGGTTGTTAAAGTTACGGGTTGATTGTTAAGGTTACGGGTTGGTTGTTAAGGTTAAGGGTTTGTTGTTAAGGTTATGAATCCTCTCTCTCTCTCTTTCTTTTTTTATTAAAATATGATGGGGATTATTTTATTATTTTTGTTTTCTCTCTCTCTTTATCATGATGTACCAAGAGGATAGTTGAAATGATTGATGAGGATTATTTTATTATTTTCGTATTTTATTATTTTGGTTGTTTGTATTGGGAGGTTGTTAAAGTTACGGGTTGATTGTTAAGGTTACGGGTTGGTTGTTAAGGTTAAGGGTTTGTTGTTAAGGTTGTGGATTTATTGTGTAGGTTACGGATTTGTTGTTAAGGTTACGAGTTTAATTGTTAAGGTTACGGGTTTAATTGTTAAGGTTACGGGTTTAATTGTTAGGGTTACCTATCTAAAGATCCTCTTGGTACATCATGATAAAGAGAGAGAGAGAGAGAGAGAGAGAAATAATAAAATAATCATCATCATATTTTAATAAAAAAAGAAAGAGAGAGAGAATGGTATTATGGTCTTCACATGTTTTAATGTCTTGGGTTTTGTGTTTTGGGGGCTCAGAGAACAAAATTTTTATTTTTAGGGGTAAAACACCTATTGACCAAGTCTTGGGGGTGGGAAACACGTTCACTTGGCTTTTGGGGGCTGGAAGCATTTTTCCCTTCTTTTTATTGAGCATAAATTAGAAAGGAGTATAATTGGTGGAGTATGATAAGTGCTAAATTAAGAAGGAATCGTAAATCTCTAGAAATCATAAAAATCATAGAAATTGATAGGTATTTGTGGAGAAAGCATTCAGTGTACTGAATATACTAGAGGTGGCAGTTTTTAACCCGACCCATCAACCCGACCCGACCCGTTTATATTGGGTATGAGTCAAGTTATATGGGTCGGGTCATAAACGGGTCAACCCGAACTGACCCATTTATTAGATGGGTAAATTAGGATTGACCCGAACTGACCTGTGTAACCTGTAACACAAAGAGCTCACCCGTATACGTGCATAACACCGCGATTGAAAATTCGGGCCGTCACATTCCTTTGTCTAGCAACCCGTCCTCTCTTCGTCTCTCATAAACGAAATCCTAGATTTCCCATCTGCGTGCGGCAGCGAGCTGCAGCGAGGAGCGAGCGGCGGCGATAGGCGAGAGGTGACAACGAGTGACGGCGAGCGGCGTCGTTTCATCAAAAGTGACGACGAGTGACGGCGAGCGACGAGCGGCGACAAACGGCGAGCTCGATCCTCTCTGTAAGTTCTCTCTTTCTCTCTCTAAGCTTCATCAAAATTAGGTTTCTTTCATTTTGCTCAAGTTTCTTTAAATTAATTTGATTCAAGCTCAAATGTTCCATTTCCAGAGTTGATCATTGGCTTTCATGTAAATTAATTTGATCATAGATAATCTATTCCTCTTTCGAAGGTTTCATTCAAGCTCATTTATTGCCCAATTTGTGATCTGTTGATTTTTGCGGAGTCTATGATCTAGTGATTCTTTTCGTACCATATATTGTTTTTTTCGTATTTTTAATTTTCAAAAACAGCCTACGAAACAAGCACAAGGTACTAATTTTTCAGTTAGTTAAGACAATTTGACATGATTAATGGATGAGTTGAGGGAAAACTATATTTATTCATTAGATAAGTATATATGTGTGAAGACTTTGACCTGGTTCTCTTGTCTTAAAGTACTATTTCTTCATGTTGAAGCTGGTAAAGGGTAGTTGGTGAAAGATATATGAATCTCGTGAAAGATTGAGGTATACTCACAAATAGATGAGAGATTGATGGATATTCATGGATGAGTATAATCCCTAGCAAACTTGATAGAAGATATATATAAGAACATGTAATCATGAATCAGAATTCTAATTGTTTAATTGAATTGAGAATGGTTTATGCTAGTTGATAGTTTACGTGTAGAAAGTCTCCAATTGGTAGCCTATATATCAATCCTTAATAACCAAGAAAGTATGGCATTTTCACTTGATCATCAATAATAAGATATAGTTCTTTTTTGTTTTTGTATTTTTAATTAGATTTGTAACAGGCATGTTAAGCATTTCAAATTCTCTCACGCATCCTGTCAAAAAGGTCCTGCTAAGTAGGGCTGACCTAGAAAAGAGTATCCGTTCATTTCTCAATGGCTCCCTATAATTAAGTAGATTGTGCTCTTGTATTCAATTACTTGTTGCACTTGGTTTCTTTCTAACTTTATGTTTGTGCAAACCAACAGGCAGTCTAATTCCAGCAGCTTATATGATGAAGGATCCTTTCCCTTAGTTTTATAAGCTCCATTTCTACTTATAGTGTAAACTTACATCCATTGTTGCAAATAGCCTCCTAGATTGTCTATTCAGTTTTCCCATTTAAACTAGTTGTATGTAATGGTCATTATGCAAGTTTGTAGTAAGTTTATGAAGCGCATATGTTTCAGTCCACGAAGCCCAAGATTAGCCTGAATTAATAGATTGAGAATACAAGGGCTCTATCTGCAATGATAGAAGTATGAAGGATCTATTCGCAATTTGGCAATAGTCAGGGGTCTATCTGCAATTAGTCCTGTAAGAATATGAAAATTAATGACATAATGATACTACAGATTGGTAGAGAACCTGGTTCCTGCGAGAGAAACACCTCTCAACCTCTCTTATTTTGGTCATTGAGGTATTATTCTGGTCATTCATCACTAATTGCTTGTCATACTTGCTATATGCTATAGTGGCCATATTTCATATTGCTTAATCCATATTTGAGCTAAAGCATACTACTGAATCTTGTTTTTAAATATTCTACTAAGTTGTTTTAAGTATTCTGCTAAGTTGATCAATAATCTTGGTTCTTCTTTTATTACGTGCATATGTTTATTCTCTAATGTTGTTTATATTTAGGAATTCGACTCATTTGAATGTCAAGAAATTATAACTTCTCAAAAGACTCAATTAGAACTTTATTTGGATGAACCAAGACTTGGACCGTGGTGCTCAACTCGACATTCTTTCATTTTGGAAGACTAATGAACATAGATACCCTGAGCTCTCTTCATTGGCAAGGGACATAATGGCGGTTCCTATCTCTACGGTTGCTTCGGAGAGTACTTTCAGTGTAGGTGGGAGAATCCTTAACCAATACTGTAGCACTCTTAAGCCTAACAATGTGGAGGCTTAAGTTTGCACGCGTGATTGGTTATATGATATTAAAGGTAGACAATTACTAATGTTATATTTTTTACGTTCTTTGCATCAGAATACATGTTATGAATTTGCTTATTGGTTTTTTATTTTTTTTATAATGATAGATGACATGCAACCAAAATTAGATGAGCTTTCCGAGGATATCATGCAATTAGATATTAGAGAATCCATGCCAACACGGGAATAATCAAATCTATAAAGTTTAAGGGCTGTCCTCCAAGAAAATTAAGGTATGTAATCAATAGTTTACCTTTTTGGTAGAAATACTGAAATTACACCAAGTTCTGATATTCTCAGCATTCAATTTTACTTTCTTGTGTTGTTTCCCTCTTTATCAAACTATTTTCGAATAATTTGCAGTTCTTA